CCGTGAGTAGTAACAATTATTTCTTTTGTGTTTTATTTATTAGTTCAGGCTAGAATCTTCTTGTGTTTCGCGTTTTTGATTAATAATATTTAATAATTTTCTAATATCAAAACGTATAATAATTATTGTATTAATACAATACATAATACAATAATTAATTTGAATTTTTATAATTCGAAATTCTTTAGAATAACATTTTAAGTTATGTGATTAAATTTGATTATTGTGATATAATAATTTCATATAATAATAACTTCATATGACTTACATCTGTAAAATTCAATTTTCTTCGTTTCGTAATTCACAAATATGAATTAAATTTTGTGCAAGAAGATATTTCGCGACAGGCAGATTTTAGAATCAGAGCAATAAGTTTTGAATACTATTCTTGTGGCTTTGAAAATATGCTCTGATGAAGGAATCGCCTGAGGGTATTTCTATTGATATTTATGTTAATTTAAATTGCAATGAATTCTAATTCTTTTTTAAATTCAATATTAAGAATTAATATACTAAAATTTCAATAACTTGTTCAATTAATAAAATAAAATATAAAGTAGAGTCACAAATAATTTGAAATATAATAAGAATATAAATAATAATAATATGCAAAGTCAAAGAATATTAGCCCGTTAGATACAAAATGGATAATACTAATATTTCTTTTTAGCTCAGGATTTTCAGATTTAACCCTTTCCATATTCATTGCCAGGAACTCATTCACGTGCCCAGGTGTTACTTGAGTGAGGGAGAGGCGATGGGTATGATGATCTTAGTTCATAAGTTAATACAAATTTTAGCGACTGGCAATGCGTTAGCGTATCGTGCACGACGTACTTTCCACATTATGTGTGTGTGATTAGGCTGTGGAATTGCGTCGTTTCAATTATTATTTCACTATTCAATCCTTTTTTAGAATCACATTCGCAATTAAATATTGCAAATAACTAATAAATAACAAGATTATTAATCTTTAGTCTTAAATTATAATAATGATACAATATTGATTCACAATAATGGTACCGTTTAGTCTGGTGACTAATATTTTAGTAGAAAATATTACATATTCATAAATATTCAGAATTAAAATGTAGATACACACGTTTTTGTCGCGTTTCACGCAATGGTCGCTAGCCATCGTCAGTCGATTTCAGGAAAATGGTACGTAAAGTTAGAGTATGAGAGTAGTGTGCCAAGCTCGGGTGTCGGAGGTGTCCCGGGACACTTTCCCTAGTGTAGGCTTTTGCGCCCGAGTATTATGCGTGAGAATCGTGGAATGAATGTGTTGGTATGCCTGTTTTGCCATTTTTTAAATATAGGACTAGGTAGGATAGGTAGTATATTTCTGGTATGTCTGTTAATTGTAAGTAGGTAGGGCCGGGCAGGTTGTCACAGTCTCTGATCGGGTAGGCGCGTTTTCGCGTGACAATCTGTTTCAGGGAATAAAATTTGAGAAATCGAAGGTGAAGCTGAGACGAATGGAGAACAATGCCATTCGTTTCTGGCTTTGCTCATCGATTTTTCGAATTTCGTGGTCGCGGTCGTGATTTGCTTTCGAAACGAACGTTGCGCTCGAGATTCTGTGCATGTTCGGAGAATGATCATTACGATCATTGGTCGTCCATGTACATTTAGCTTCCGCGATTTAGTCCCTTTTTTTATCTTTTTTTCTTTGATTTGCGATTAGTGAATCTCGAGCCTAGATTTAAGTTTCAGCGGGCATTGCGCCCGAAGGAGGAAGACCGAAGAGGCCTCGACAAACTGTCGCGAAGAGGGGCTGCAACGAATGGCTTCTCATCTTTTGGATTTTGTCTGGGTCCAAAGAATGGGAAGTCATTGTGACTACTTTGTCATTGTGCTCGTTTTAGTAATACGTAGTATATGTTGTATCGTCTTGGCCAATTTGCATGCTGGCCCAACGTTGATCCAGTCATCATGGGCATCGCGATTTTTTTATTAGTGTTGCGATTGATCAATAACGGGTTGAATTAGAGTTGCGTCGTAATTTTTGCGCTTCTTTATTAGTCAGATGCGTTGAAAAATCGTGTTGGCATTATGAGATATCGCGATTTTTCTTTATTATAATTTTTTATAAAGTATTTATATTTATACCATTTGTTATTAAATTCTTTATTTTACTAATAACTATCTCGTCATATAAAAATAATTATTTTTATTAAATTTGTTTTAAACAATTACGTTGATAAATAATCGCGTTTGTTCAAGTAGTGTTGCGAATATTGAATGCCCAAATTTCTTCCACTGAAATTGTGGAAATATTCATACTCCTGATTCTGAATCACTTTAAGTGGCTAAAAAAAGCTGCAAGAGTGATATGTCAGCAGTCATTAAGGAGACTGCATTGGATTTCTCGCGTTTATTATATTGCGATATTAAAATTTGAGTGCATAGAGTAGTATTGCGTAAATAATTCATTGTTTGCGGGAATTTTCTAATTCTTTTTTTATTTTTTTTTTTATCAACTTAAATATTGTAAATATAATAAAGCACTCATCGTGGTTTTAAAAACGTTTCGTTACGGAATAGAAGATATTTTTATTTTAATAACCCTTCTGGTTACTAAATTCTTTTCTTTTTCAGCATCTTTTATTATATTCTGCGTTTGTTGCAAAAAATATTGGTATGTATATTTTGTTTTTATTATTAGTTAATAATAATTTTTCAAAATTTTTCTACAATAAATTTTTAAATTTCTCTTTATTTAATTTTTTAAAATCAATAATGGTGAATATTCATTATAAAATTTATTTTTTTTACTATTTAAAATTATAATGTTTTTTTTTTTTTTTTAAACATTACTAATACTTCAATTAAGTTTGTTTCAGAAAGCTCCAGTTATATATTTCAAGAAATTGTGACATTTGAGTAAATCATCAATTAATAAATAATTATATTTTATGCAATTTTAATAATTATTTGTAATTTTATTTGTTTCAGAAACTATTGTGAAATCAAAATACATATTTATACATCTTTCTCTTTTTTTATATTAATATCATTCTATAAGAATGAATTCTAGATCATAGATTCTTATAAAAATATATTTAGATTTTTTATAGGTAGGATAAATTATATACATAAATCTATAACCAATTGAAATAATTAAATATATATGTTTTATATAATATATAAATAAATGGCTTATAAAATTGTTGTTATAGAAATATTGCTTAAAATATAAATGCATGATACATAGATGTGTTAATAATATTAAAAGTGGTGGTGGTTAATATAAAATACATCTAACTCTGTGTAGAGTACATTTCATTTTCTTTGGTTCTTTAATTTCATAATTATCAATATTTTATATTTTCATGATAATGAATGTATAAAATATCGATATATACATAAATAATTTGTAAAATTTTTTATAGAATTATTAAGATAATTTAATTTTAGATTTAAATTGTCTTGATTTTCCTTAGAATTTTTTTTGTTGTTTGTTGTAACAACGATTGAACATTTTGTAATTAGAAGGAAAATTTATCATTGATTTTAAATAAATTTTTGCATAAAAAAGAATAGATAGATCTTGTGAATTTTTTCATAACATATATATAAAGATATTTTTCGAAGATAAACTGAATATAATTTTTATATTGATTATATCATAGAAAGTGTCAGAAACAGGTCGGTATTTCAGAATAAAGAAATAAAATTCCGTAAGATGTCGTGTTCATTCTGTACTTCGTAATCGACGTGATCTTTTCTCACTCGATAATATAGTAGTTCGTGTTAAAATTTATTTTATGGTTAGTTTAATTTATTTAGATTTAAAGTAAATTGAAAGTTTTGATTTAAGTTTTACAAGTACAAATAATTTGCTTATTTAAAAAAAAAATCATTATTTTCCGTGGACATTATCATGTATCGATAAAAAAATTTTTTATAACTATTTTATCGATCTCGCTTAGATCTCGTTAGTATAAGAAAATCACTGTAGATGGCTGATACGAAGCGTCGTAAAAGGCGCCATCGGCGCGTTCGAAATGAATGGGAGTGTACCAAAGAACGGTCGGCGACACGGCGGTAGACCGGCCGGCACTTCGTGTACCGTCGTCGCGTCGTACGGACGTGTTGTTCATCGTTCTTTTCTTTCACAAGGATCTCCTAGCACTATGACACTCCTAATCAAAACTTTATCCTAAAAAATACATCGATAGTGTTATTGCCATTTGAAAAGGATTCATTTTCACGGTTCTCGTTTAAATAAAACTCGCGTTAATTCGCCAAGGAGTCGTATCGTTTATCCAAAGAATGCGATTCGGAAGAAAGAGATTCGAAGGATGATTCGAAAGTGAACGGAAGAACAGTGTCTTATTGTCAATTAAGTGTAAAGTGCCTGTAGAGAATTATCTTATTTAAAATAAAAATATTAAAAATGGAGCCGCAATATTCATCGGAAAAAGTCTCGTTTTTCATAACCGCCAGATGTCCCTCTCTCGGTTGGATCACTGGCGGGAACGATCGTTTTATAAGCGTCGCGAACTTGTGACGGTTGACCGGTGGTGTCTCGCGTTCGAGACGACAGTGTTTCAAATCCTATTCTTTCGGTTCTAGTGTTATGTGTGAATGTGTCGGTTGATTTCGTTTGAGAAATCATGCCGTTCGTGCTACGAAGAGTGGAGCCGCGTTTCTTGTGTCGCGGACACGTGCCAGCGGGATCGACAGCCCAGGGTTGGCCAGTGGGTGCCGAATTGGAGGCGGTAGCGAACGGTGCGCTGACCACCTCGTTGAAGCAACTCGCCTCGCTTCTCACCATCGCCGAGGACATCTTTGCGGAACTGACTGCCGAGTTGACCGCTGTTGCCGATCGGAGCAGCAATCTGCGCCAAAGGATAGACAAGGTCGAGGAACGTCTCGCCACCGTCGACCCGAAGAAAGTACCAGTCCGTGAGTACCTACCCACTTGCTTATACCTTCGCTCGCTTCTGCATTTCCGCTCACCGCCTTATCGATGCAACGCACAAGCGGCTCGTTGTGCGAGATTGAAGGCGGTTGAATGTCGGTGTATAAAAGGTTAAACGTTTTAGAATACGAGAGATATTAATTTTGAAGAATTGAATGAAAGGAATTTTAACGATTTTTTGTTTTATTCTCATGTATTATAATAATCTTTTGTCAATCATCTATTCGAATATTTATTAGGAAATTTATTTATTTATTTATTCTTTTATCTGAAGAATGTAAAAAACATTCGCTCGATGAATTCTCGAAACTTGCGGAAGATATTTAAATCGAAAACGAATCAATAATAGATCGAAAGTGAGTCGGTTGTAAGATAATTTTGAGGTTCATTCAACCGCAAAACATTCATTCATTCCGACCGATATCGAAATATTTGATTTGAGCCGAATGATAAACGATACTTTATGTTACACGTAAATGTTGTGTATAGATATCCTGTATGCATTCATGGAGCTTTGAAGTTAAGTATCACTTCAGTTTGTGTTTCGTGCAGGGTTATTCTTTATCGAGAGGAAACTTTAACGTCGTGTCGTAAAGTCGAGTGTTGATCTGTATTTTGGCGATGAGATAATGTGTTAGGTTCACGTCTACTTTTAGGTAAATAAGGTAAATTAGATAATATAGTATAATCAAGATTGATTAAATTTTTATTTGATATTGGATAGAAATTTTGGTATTTTTAATATTTCTGGGATTCTCGTGATTTTTTATGTAAATTATTTTTTTGATTGTAGGTTTTTTTTTTTATTTTGGAATAAATATAGGAAAAGAATATATAAAATTTCACTTTTTTTTTGTAGAATATTTTATCATAGAATAATTTAATAATTAAAGTATAATGATCGTGATCAGAATATTACAATTTTATTTTCTAATTTCATGTTCTATGATATTTTTTTCAAAGTTTTATTTTTATCGAATATATAAAATAAAAATCAAATTCAATTCAATTCAGAAATTACGGTACGGAAATCATTAAATGTACAAAATTCTTCTTCGTGATTCCTTGAATTATTACCAATTATGATCTAATTAATTAAAATAAAAATAATTTATTATCCGGGAAAAAATATTTTCTCATTTCTCGTTCGAAACTCTATTCGATTTAAAAGAATTCATTACTTTTGCGCAATAGACTTCAATTAGAATTCATCATTGTGTTTCGTTATACACGAAACGTCAATTATTTTTTCATCTCACAAAATCATTCCCTTTTCGTTATCGTGTATCGAGGATTGATTTAATAAAAACTAAATTAAATGTACGTGAAACTTTTGAAAGATATATAAATCCATATCTCAGTAAAATAAATTGAATCCAATTAAAACTGAATATTATTTTATACAGTAATTATACTTACATAGAATAAGTAAATATTAGAATTTTCAATAGTAAATCATTTCATAGTAAATCATTTTTCAAAATTTTCAATATAAAAAAAATAAGCTTAATTTGAAATATTTTTGGATTCTAACTTCTTCTTCTAATTCTAAAGTTTTTTAAATTTTTAAAATTATTTTTGTCATATTTTAATTTAATTAGCATATAATACGTATTTTTGAGATATAATAAAACTTTGATTATTTTTATTAGTATTTTTATTAATCTTTATTCAATAAGTTAATTTTTTCCAATCCTGTTATTTTAATCCAATCCTATTTATTTTAAAAAAATAAAAATTCAAGAATAATTTTGATAAACAGTTCCTTTTGTGAAAAAGAAAAGAAAGAAAGATATAAAAAGAGAAAAGAAACAGGTTTGAAGATCTTAGAATAATACATACGTAAATTCATATGTTTTTCAGCTTGTCGATTTCACTTTTAACACAGGTGTAACGTTTAGGCAGAATCAATAAAAGACACAATGAAATATTTCGTTTTCTCTCGAACAATTTTAACATCGTATCTGAACTCTTTGCGCAATCGGCTGTTCATCTTTTTCGATAAGTTATCTTCGAATTTTAAAATAATTCAACGGAAGCAATAGATTTAAAGAATTTTCTATTTTCTATTATACTTTTCTATCAGATCGAATCTAAAATACATTCCAGATGCTACATTTAATTTTTTTCGGAAATATATACGCCTTAAATCTTCCTTTTTGTCACAGAATAACCGTAAAATTCTAGCTTATCCTACAAATAACACGTAATACTTACATAACATTCCATCCACGTCGAAAGTTTTGCTCGCCACCCAATCGAATCTCGTGGTACACACGTACCTATTATACACCTATTGGCCCTACACCAGATCGTACAAATATTTCTCTCGAGGCGAACCACGTCTTTGGGAAGCGTCTTTATTATCCAAGGCAAAGAATCGTTGAAATGCTGCAGGGAGAGCACGGTCGTGCACAATGCGTTCGAAGTGCACGGAACGGGTGGCCTTCCTCTTCCAAACTCTCGCCAGTTTCGAACCTTTCCCTATTCGCCTATTCTCGTGGATCCGTCTTATTAACATTCCATTCGCCGATGCGAATGCATCACCGACGTAACTTTGATTGGCGTGTTTTTCCCCCGCGATCCTTTCTTTCCTTCTTTCTTCGTGGCATACCTAGAACTGTACTTCCTGTAGCGAAAAAATTACGATTATTTCTTTCCGGAAAATCAATTGTAATTTCGAGAGAGATTCCATTCTTTTTAATTTTATCTAGAAATAATAATTCTAAGTAACTTTTTCCATAGTTTCGATATGAAAATGAAATGAACGTGATTGATTTCTCCAACATCTCTCTTCTTACTTCTCTTCACTTTTGAATTATTTTCAAAATAATTCGAATTTCTCGTTATATATATACACGTATGTATGATATATACAGAGCGTTTTAGAAAGTCGATTTCAAATGAAAACAAACACAAAAATATCAATAGCTTCGAGCTTACTTGTGAGCAATTTAAATTGAGACAGAGTCTCTACTTCCCTCGCATCCCCGTCTATCCAACGTAAACTTGAACCGACACTTTTGTGTACCAAACTTTACGTTTATCTTCGAGCCAACCCTTCGAATCTATTAACACCCTATATTCCAAGCGTTTCGAATCCCATCGCCACAAGCAGCATAAGAACCATAAGATCCCGAAGCGGAAAGATAAGAATGTCGGATGGGAGGAGGAGGAGGATCGAGGAATGAGTGTAGAGAGGGACGAAGAAAGAGAGAGAGAGAGAAAAGAGGGATGAAGAAGGAGAGCGGAGGGAGCGGGAAGTGGGTAAGGCAAGGGGATGGGAGAGATGTATCGTGGAGACCCACATTACGGGGAAAACGCTCCGGGTTACCTGGCGTACCGTGGGAAACGGACCTCGTCGCCGAAAGCGAGTTTCACCTGAGGAGGACGAAGGATTAGCCCGACGCTCATGCCTCCTCGATCTCCACAAAGAATCCCTTGTTCCGTTTTCTCTCTCTCTCTCTCTCTCTCGAGCTCGGGATAAGGAAGGATAAGGAAGGAATCAGCTTCCGTCGTATAAAACCGCCACTCCTCGGGAAACACCTCGGTCTCGTAACAAGATGGAATATAATAATTATCGGGGAAGTTGATTCCGTTGTGTAATCTAAGCGAGGAGGAAGTTGGGTCGTTAAGAATTTCTCTATTGTTCCTCGAATGCATCTCGAGTCGCGAAAGTGAATTCTCGCGTCGCGTTGAAGATACTTCGTAGTCGGAAAATGTATAATCGGGTGGAGAGAGAATATGTTATGAAGAAAATATATGTTTGAGATTGTTTCAGGGATTGTGTGTATAATTATTGTAATAATATTTGAACAAAGTAATGATAAAATCGGTGGATAAAGATTTGGAGAGGGCAATCGATTCATTTGTGATATTTGAATTATATCTTCATTTATTTTTAAAATAATACGATTGCACGGGATGGTATAATAATAATAATAATAATAATAATAATAGAATTGAAATCTACGTTGTATTCGTACGATATTGCAAAATTTCGCGAAGAGAAAATCTCTATCTCCAGATCCTTATCCGGGGTTTCGTAACTAACTCTCTCGGTGTGGAGAAACACTCGAAGCGTAACAGCTTCGTTAGTAGCATCGTTGTTCCAGCTACAGCCATTTCAACCAACGTTAACCGCGACATTACTGTTTTAATTAAAGACACCTTCCTCGAACGATCACTCTTCTCCTTAACCATTATTCATTTCCTCGGAACTTTGAAACGCACCAAAAGAGACGTTAAAAAAAAAAGAGAAACGAATAAAATATTATTTAGACAAACGATCACTCTCCATCTGCTTATCCATTACTTATTCCTCGAAAGTAATTATGAAACACCTTGAGCAAAGGGTGGGGGAAAAAGTATTATTTTATTTCCGAGATATATACCTTTCTCAAACCAATCTTCTTCTTAACCGTTAC